ATTATCAAGCTGGAGAGGGTTCAGAGGAGATTTACCAGGATGTTGCTGGGTATGGAATGTTTGAGTCATAAAGATAGACTGGAGCACAGCAAGTTGAGAGCTGACCTGATATAAGTTTATAAAATAATAAGAAGTATAAATAGAGTTAAAGATAGTTGTCTTTTCTCTAGAATGGGGGATTTCAAGACTGGGAGCACATCCTTGAGGTGAGAGGAGACAGATTTTTAAAAAAGATATGAGAGGCAATAGGTTTTACACAGAGGGTGGTTTGCATGTGGAATGAACTTCCTGACGAAGTGGTGGATTTGGGTACAATTACAATGTTTAAAACACATTTGGAAAAGTGTGTGAATAGGACAGGTTTGGAGGAATATGGGCCAGGAGCAGATAGGTGGGACTAGTTTAGTTTGGGATTATGTTTGGCATGGACTGGTTGGACCGAAGTGTCTGTTTCCGAGCTATATGACTCTGTGACTTATAAATGTTCACTTTCTGGGCAAGAGAGATTGTCTGGTAATCATTTTTAATTATTATGCCACTATTAATCACAAATTTTAACATTTTGGAGAGATAAATTGGGAATAAATATGTACAACTGCTTCATGAAAAAAATAGGGAGTTTTGTGAGGCTAATGAGAGAGAAGGGAAACTCAACGAGTGATTTGTACCAGTTGGCAATTCACTGGTGTAACTCTTCCACACCACAAGTGTTTGATTGATGTACATGGCAATAAAACTGTGTGCCATTCAAGCAATGTTGTATTTTCAACAAAGTTTGGCCCATTGACTCTAATCTTAGCGCCTAATTCTTAATATTATTTTCTTCTTCAGGTATTTATTTAATATATCCCATAGAGTCCGGATGGCCTGTTTCAATAGCCATTTGTTCCAGTGAAAAATGACAATAACTGCCCTTTAAAATAATATATTGCCTAGAAAGCATCTGAGACATGAAGATATAATAGGTGCCATTTGGATGCAAGATCTTTCTATCCAGTTTTGCTTGTAAATTTATAATCCTTTGTTACAGGCTCATTGAGCGTGGAAATAATCTACCTTTCAGCAACCTGCCAGTTGTTCTTTGATTTCCATGCAGCGTTTTTATAGATCTCTTTGATTTCTATTTAATTTTGGGCAAGAACATCATAAATTGTATTCCGCGAACCAAATTGTTCAACTCTCAGCTGTTTTTTTCGGTTCTCTGCTCATTTTCATCTGGTGGAAATCCTCTTACTCTTCCATATCCAGTGCAGGGGTCAGTACTTTTAAATAAAACAAAACAAATCAACGAGAATTGTCTTTTTAAAAAAAAAATAAGCTCCCAGGGTTAATGGCATTCTGGACTGGCTGATGCAGACTTGGCTAATTAACATTCAGTCCAAACCACAGCAGAGACAATGTACGAAATCATATAGTTCACCACAGCTAATCTGATATTCGACATGAAATATTCAACTGATTCAACTCAAGTACAGTGGATATTTACACTGCAGTCCAGCAGTCAAAAGTTAAAATCCCAGTGGAAAATATCGTATCCACATGACAGCAGTAAGTGACAAAGCTGAATTGTTCCATCAATTTGTAGCCTTCTCTCAAATCACTGTTGCCCACATCTGCCCCCTCTTCCAACCTCTCTTCCAGCTGCACTGACACAAATAGGGTCATTACCCATGGATTGGAAAGCCTACGGGGGTGTCTGATTTTATGCAAAACTATTGTCCCAACTTATTTCTAAAACCGTTTGACAAATGCTTCAAAAAAGAATGTCAATTGGCTTTCTGCTAAACAGTTTTCCTGTTCCAAGTCTCTGAATCCTGTTCAGCAATTCTGGCGATGTTCTTGCATTATTGTTTATGAGGTAATTCTGTGCTATGACAATGCTCATAGACAACTGTTTTAAAAAAAACCTTATGGTAGAGCTAATGCACTGAGAGTTTCTAGAACAAAGTGCATTTGTTTTAAACAAATGAGGAGCTTACATTTATATAATGCTTTTCTCAGCCTTGGGGCATACCAAAATTTTTCAGTGTCAACTGTAACTCACGCATACACCCACACACAGGTTCACAAATCAAGGCAATGTTGAGGGACCCCCATACTGCCTTTCAGAGAAGACATGAAGTGGAGTCCCACCACCTCTCCCTGTTCGGTGGATATGAAAGATTCCACCTTTTGAAACGGAACAGGAAGCTACGCTCACGGTTTTCTAATTAACAAATTATTCAATTCATAACGCATTGCTGTTTGCTGAGTGAAAATTTTCTGCGGTATTTCCTACATTACAACAGTGACCACACTGCAAAAGTGAAAGAACTTTGAGACTGCTGGTGGTTGTGAAAGTGCTATACGAATGCACATCTTTCTTTACAGAGTCAACAGAGTACAGCTGAAGTGTTGTCACTTCACTGAAGCATGAAGGATGATTAAAAGACTCAGTCAATTGTCTTCAACAAGACTGAAACACATCAGGAATAAAAACAAAAACAAACAAGAGTGCCTTCAACAAGATTGAAAGACATCAGAACAGTTCAGAGTAAACAGCTGTTTAAATTTAGACTCTTCTGATTGGAAGTAGCAAGATGAACTGCAGTGATCTCATCCATCCCCAAGTTCCTTTGTGTTTTACTTCAGTGTGAGCTTGTTAGGCGATAAATCTGGCTGGTTGTTTAGCCTGAACAATGCGGTCTAACAGCGCAGTGATTTAACCTCTATTTACAAAGTCAAGTGTTAACCCTTTACTCTGCACCAATCTCATCCAATGGAAAGAAAATGTAGCTCAGACATGGCAAGGTCATGTATCACGACCACTCAGTATACACAACACTGCGATGGGAAACAGCTTCATGCAGAACAAACTTGAAAACCTTCCCAATCATGTGTTGGCTTCCAGCTTCACAACCGTTCTTAGAATTCAGAGCTGCTGACTTGTGAACTGTCATAACTGCCTGCCATCTGAATCCAAACTGACTCCACTCACCCAACCCTAGAATGCTTGACATACCCAGCCTTGGACTCAAAACCCCTGACCTGACCATTCCCCTCTGCCCCATGCCAACCCACAGCCTTTGCTCACGTACCTTGCATCCTACTTTCCATCCTTATGGCACCCTCACACATATGTCACCTGATTCCCTGCTGCCTTTGCATTTGATACCCTACTCATCACCTGCCTGGCACCCTGTACCCTCACCCTACCCAGTCTAGCCCTCACCACCTGGCACCTTCCACCATACCCCCTCACCCACCCGGCAGCCTTTGACAACTCAGCTGTTATCAAATGGCTTCAGGACCCTTAAAAGAGTCATACAGCATGGAAAACAGAACCTTCGGTCCAACCAGTCCATGCTGACCATAATCTCAAACTAAACTAGTCCCACCTGCCTATGCTTGGTCCACATCTCTCCAAACCTCTCTCATTCGTGTATTTTTAAATGTTGTAATTGTACCCGCATCCACCACTTCCTCTGGAAGTTCGTTCCACATGCGAACCACCCTCTGTGTAAAAAAATTGTCCCTCATGTCTTTTATAAATCTTTCTCCTCTCAACTTGAAGATATGCCCCCGAGTCCTGAAATCCCCCATCCTAGGGAAAACACACCTGCCAATCACCTCATAGACACCCCTCCTGATTTTGTAAATCTCTATAACGTCACCTCTCAACCTCTTGCGTTCCAGTGAAAGAAGTCCCATTCTATCCACCCTCTCCCTTTAACTCAAACCTTCCATTCCCAGCAAATCTTTTCTGAACACCTTCCAATTGAATAACACATTTCCTATAGCTGGACGACCAGAACTGCACACGGTACTCCAGAAGAGGTCCCACCAACGTCCTCTAGAACCTCAACAAGACTCTGTATCTGAACCCAATAATATCCACCATAGCTCCATGACCCTTAACACCCTTACCCAAAAATAAATACTAACAACCAATCAACTGTTCACTTTTATCAAAATCTGATGCCTTAAGGACTTGAATAGCACACAAAGCTAGTATTGGAAAAAAAAACTGACCACTTCAGAACTGCCTGTATGGCCTCCTGACCTAGACTTGCCTCCTTTATCTGGGAAGCTTCTCAGTTCCAAAGTTCAGATGGATAACTCCTCTGAAGGTAACTTTTTTTTTTGTGTATATAGAATGGGAAATACTGTCTCTGGACCAGATCAGGAAATATGGACCCATCTGTTCTGGAGTTGTGGATGAAGGGGTAACTATTGGCTAGAAAACTGGGAGAATGTCTCAAGTTCTTCAGAATTTTTAAGATATTCATTCACACGATGCAGGTGTCAATCGCTGGGCCAGCAGCCATAATTACTCCAAGGGCAGTTCAGAGTCAACCACATTGCTGTGGGTCTAAAGTTACATGTAGGCCAGACCAGATAAGGATGGCAGATTTCCTTCTCTAAAGGACATAAGTGAACATTTGACAGTGGTTTCATGATCATTGTTAAATTCATAATTCCAGATTTGTATTGAATTCAAATTCCACCATCTGCCATGGCCAGATTTGAATCCAGGTGCCCAGAACACTACCTGGGTCTCTGGAATATTAGTCTAGTGATAATACATGGCATTGTGAGACTCTAGAGTCCACCTGAGAAAGTATTCAACCAGATGTTTTTGTATCTTGGGACTGCATATTTTTTGAACCAGGATGAGGATGTCCAAGACCTCATTTCACAATAATCCAAACATGAAGTCAATCATTGAAGGGCTATCCCATGAACCTCACCTGATTCTAGAGGTGAAACACCAAAACACATTCCCTCATTTCATAACCAAAAGGAAATCGTTCTGTGATGGATCCCAGAGAGGTAAATGAATGGCCTTTTTTAAAAACTCTACCATTGTTCTAGCCAGCTCTGTATTGCATGCTTTCATCAGAGTCAACAAAATTGCCAACGGAGACATGTGGACAAAATATTCACTCTGATCTCTTCACTCTGCAGACTCAATGGTTAGTCACATCCAAAAGGAGGAAGAACTGAGCTTGCTCACTCACCATGTACAGCTGTTTCCAGATGTTGGACCATTCCCTCAAGGTGGTTGTGATTTCTTGCACCAGGGGCATCTCCTTTGAGACAATGTTCTCCTGATTACTGGAGAAACAAGGAGAGCTCATGTTAAACCCCAGCACACCATAAAGCCACAGCGCAGTTACAGATAAAGAAATCCCTTTGATCAATTGACCCCTGCACTTCCTAGATGTTTGCCCACACAATCTTCTGTCATTCAACCGTTTCTTAAAAGGAGCTAAAATTCAAACTGGTGATAAAGGCTACAGGGGAATAGAGTCATAGAGATTAACAGCACAGAAACAGACCGGACGGTCCAACTCATCCATGCCAACCAAATATCTTAAATTAATCTAGTCCCATTTGCGAGCATTTGGCCCATATACCTCCAAACCCTTCCTACTCATATACCCATCCAGATGCCTTTTAAATGTTGTAACCAGCCTCCACAAGTTCCTCTGGCAGTTCATTCCATACACGCACCACCCTCTGCATGAAAAAGTTGCCCCTTAAGTCTCTTTTAAATTTTTCCTCTCACAACTTAAACCAATTCCCTTTAGTTTTGGACTCCCCTACCCTGTGGAAAAGATCTTGGCTATTTACCCTATCCATCATGATTTTATAAACCTCTATAAGGTCACCCCTCAGCCTCCTACACTCCAGGGAAAAGAGCCCTGGCCTATTCAGCCTCTCGCTCTCGCTCAAACCCTCCAACCCCAGCAACATCGTTGTAAATCTTTTCTGCATCAAGCTCAGAGTTCATGAGGGGTCGTGTTCGGATTTTGTAACCATGGTTGACTGAGCATCTGTACCAATTAGTGAGTGGCACAGTGGTTAGCACTGCTGCCTCACAGTGCCAGGGACCCAGGTTCAATTCCACCCTTAGGTGACTATCTGTGTGGAGTTTGCACATTCTCCCCATGTCTAGCAATGGTTTCATCTGGGTGCTCTAGTTTCCTCCCACAGTCCAAAGATGTGCAGGTGAGGTGGATTGGATGTGCTAAATTGCCTGTAGTGTTCAGGGATGTGTAGGTTAGGGGATGGATCTGGGTGGGATGAACTGAGGGTCAGTGTGGACTTGTTGGGCTGAAGGACCTGTTTCCACACTGTAGGGATTTTATGATCTATTTACTGCACTATTACGCAATCCCAGCTATACTCAAATATTTTACAGATTTACTGCTATCGTCTCTGTCAGGCAAAGTCACTAATTCTCAGTCAAGGGAAGAAATCCAAAACATCAATAGTTTCAACAACAGCTCCAACTAATATGCAGTCTGTTAATATATTATATTTTCTTTCGTTTCACCGTCCCCCACAAATCTCCATTTCGGCCATATCATAATGATGGTAAGTTCTGAAATAAGGCCCAAGTTACAATTGGGCAACACTTTTGCAGGTCACAGCAGAGGTTGAAGTGATCTTCAAGTGAGGCAGATTTTACTGACTGCAGTGACGGGCCCAACCACTGTCTGGAGAGCAGGGGGCAACTTTGCTGTAGCCATTCAACTCCCCCCATCCCAACACAATTTATGAATCAGGCAATCCACTGATTGGTGATGGACTCCTCAGGGGTGGGGAGTCTCCCACCTTCGAGAGCTATTGTCCCAGCTACACCAGTAGCAGCTATCCAATTAGCCCATGCCGGAGCCCTGAGGGAAAGACAGAATTTCCATTGCAAATCTGTGCAAGGACAGAAGGGAGGTTTTTTAAAAATTCATTCACAGGATGAGGGCAGTGTTAGATAGGCCAGCATTTGATGCCCATCCCAAGGGGCAGTGAAGACTCAACTTCATTACTGTGGGTCTAGAGTCACATGTGGGCCAGACCTGGTAAGGATGGCAGTTTCCTTCCCTAAAGGCACTGAAAGTGAACCAGATTTGATTTGTTATTATCACATGTACCTAGGTACAGTGAAAAGTTTTGTTTTGTGTGCAGATCATACCATACAAAGTGCTTAAGGGTAATAGACCAGAGTGAGGATTACAATGTTACAGCTGCAGGGAAGGTGCACAAAGAGCGCAGTCAACATTAAATTTGAAATTTGGGAGGTCCATCCAGAAGTCTAATAACAGCGGGGAAAAAGTTGTTGTTCAATCTGTTGGTACGTACGTTTAAGTTTTTCTATCTTCTGCCCGACAGAAGAGGTGGAAAGAGATTATAACTGGGGTGGGATAATGTTGACTGCCTTTCCGAGGCAGTGAAAAGTATAGATGGAGTCCATGGATAGAAGGTTGCCTTGTGTGATGGACTGGGCTGTGTTCACAACTCTCTGTAGTTTCTTACGGTCCTGGGAAGAGCAGTTGCCATATCAAGCCGTGATGTATCCGAGTAGAATATTTTCTATGATGCATCTACAAAAATTGGTTGGAGTTTTTACAGACATGCCGAATTTCCTTAACCTCCTGAGGAAGTAGAGGTGGTATTTCCAACAATCAGCAATTAAGAGTCATCATCAGACTCTTAATTCCAGATTGTTAGTGAATTCAACTTTGCCATGGCAGGACTTGAACCCAAGTCTCAGAACATTACCTGGGTCTCTGGATTAATAGTCCAGTGAGAATACCACTAGACCACCACCTCCCCTTAACTTAACAGAAAGGCGGGGCTGGGGGTTCTTCAATGTGTTGATAGGCCTTGATATTGTTAGATACAAGCTACCAAATAGTAAAAACCACCCCTCCCTTAATAGGCCTCATGCACCCCTCCGACACATTAGAGGGTAAGGCCTTTGAGTGGCCAACAGAATTGACCTCCAGATGGGAAGTCCATCCTCAGCACTTTCCACTTGGGCTTAATTGTGGATGAGAGGAATCCAATGAGTTCTTAACTCTACATTTGCCACCCCCTCCAGCACCCCATCTCTTGAAGTTGCATTAAATGCCCCCTGTGATTTTCCTACTGTTCCCCCCAATCAAGCGCACACACAGCTGATCAATGGCTTCCATTTTGTTACAATTATCTTTTCATTTGAAGATCAAACACCTCAGAAGTGCACCTGAAGCTGATCTCTAAATTGAGAATTGGCTGCACATGGATGAACATATTGTGTCTGTAATGCTCCCAGGTTTGGTGTCAATCATTAGGGTCGAGGGTCATTTAAGTAAGCAATCAGACTGGAAACTCAGTAACAAATGTATTTGCTTAATGTGTGGCCAGCATTGGTCAGTGACTATCACCCTCAGCTCTGAGTCAGAGGTCACTGGTTCAAAGCACCACACACTCTGAATGCTTTAAGCCCATAGTATGGGCCTCCTGGTGCAGTAGATAGACCAACAATGCACTTAAGAGAATTCCAGGATGTTGTCAGGGCTGGAGGTTTTTTATTATGAAGAGAGATTGGACACATTGGGGTTGCTTTCCTTGGAGCATAGGAGACTGGTTGAGATGTATAAAATTATGAGGAGCATAGATAAGGTAGACAGGAAGAAACTTTTCCCCTTGGTGGAGGGATGAAGGGATCAATGACCAGGGGGTTCAGAGGAGATGTGAGGTGGGAAGCTGAAACTCATTGCCAGTAACAATGTTGAGGCAGAAAACGCCACAGCATTTAAGCATTGGGAGGTGATGGCCCAGTGGTATTATTGCTGGACTGCTAATCCAGAGACTCTCAACATTCTGGGGTAGTAGGAACTGCAGATGCTGGAGAATCTGAGATAAGAAGGTGTAGAGCTGGATGAACACAGCAGGCCAAGCAGCATCACAGGAGCAGGAAAGCTGACGTTTCGGGCTTAGAAGGGTCTAGGCCCGAAATGTCAGCTTTCCTGCTCCTCTGATAACATTCTGGGGCCCCAGGTTCAAATCCTACCATAGCAGATGGTAGAAATTGAATTCAATAAATATCTGGAATTAACAATCTAATGATGACCATGAATCGATTGTCAGGAAAAACCCATCTGGCTCACTAACGTCCTTTAGGGAAGGAAATCTGCCATCTTCACCTGGTCTGACCTACATGTGACTGCAGACCCACAGCAATGTAGGTGACTCTTAACTGTTAGGGATGGGCAATTAAAGCTGCCTAGCCATCGATGCCCTCATCCTGTGAATGAATAAATAAACTTGTACGCTTGTGATGCCTAGACATACAAGGTTTTGGGCCAAGTGCTGGGATTAGAATAGTTAGGTGGTTGATTTTTGACTGCACAGACTCAATGGGCTGAGGTGCCTTGTTCTGTGTTGTAGATCTCTATGACTAGATACTGCTGAGCATTCCAAGTGGTTCCTGTATTTATCTCAGATTTCCAACTCCTCCAGCAACTAGTTTCTGGTTACACACTTTTCAAGTGTTGTTGCTGTAAATGTACATGGCAACCAAATGTCCTCAAATGCAACACGCCCATATGCAGGGTTTGGGGCACAGGAGGAGGGAGGCACATTTTGTTTTTAATACAGATGGATAACTACTGGATTGTCTGCCTGTTATACCGCTACATGAGATTTCAGATACAGGGGGAGGTGATGGCCTAGTGGTATTGTCACTGGAATGTTAATTCAGTGACCCAGGTCATGTTCTGGGTACCCAGGCCTGAATCCCATCACGGCAGATGGTGGAATTTGAATTCAATAAATATCTGGAATTAAGAGTCTAAATGATGATCATGAATCCATTGTCGATAAAACATCTGGTTCTCTTATGCCCTTTCAGGAAGGAAACTGGCATCTTTACCTGGTCTGAACTAAATGTGACTCCAGACCCACTGCAATGTGGTTGACTCTTAAATGCCCTCTGGGCAATTAGGGATGGGCAATAAATGCTGGCCTAACCAATGAGGCCCAAATCCTGTGAATTAATTTAAAAAACTGATTCCAGTCCCAGCTCCAGTAAATTGGGAAAAAACAACTACCCCACACCCCCCCTCTAATTTGTTCTGAAAGCAATTGCAGAATAAATTGGTTTAACACCCACCCCCCTAGAAGACACGTTGCTATCAGTGCAGAACTCCAAATTCCACCATCCGCTATGGCAGGATTTGAACCCAGATCAGTACATCTATGGATAATACCACTCGGCTATGACCTCCCCTGCTTATAGGATACACTGCCTGGAAATGTGATGGAGGGTCAATTGAGGCACTTAAGAG